CCCCAAAACCCCAAAACCCCAAAACCCCAAAACCCCAAAAAATGTACTGTGGGAGGAAATTAAATAAATAATTTAAGCCAGAAATTAAAAGATTTAAAATGTTTTCACTTGGAGCTAGATTAACTGCTAAAAGTGCTTTTAGAGCCAACCAGGCTACTATGGCATCAATAGGTGTCCTTCTTAGACGCTTCTCTGTTGTCAATCCTGCTATTATGAGGAACATTGGAATTAGTGCTCACATTGATTCTGGAAAGACAACTTTTACTGAAAGAGTCTTGTTTTACACTGGAAGAATCAACGCTATTCACGAAGTTAGAGGTAGTGATAATGTGGGAGCAACTATGGACTCAATGGAGCTCGAGAGGGAAAAAGGAATCACAATTCAGAGTGCAGCTACCCACACAGTCTGGGACAACCATCATGTCAATATCATCGATACACCAGGTCACGTTGACTTTACTATTGAGGTAGAAAGAGCATTAAGAGTTTTGGATGGAGGAGTTTTGCTTCTTTGTGCTGCTTCTGGAGTTCAACCACAGACTCTGACTGTTGACAAACAAATGAAAAGATACGATGTCCCAAGGATCATCTTCATTAACAAGCTTGATAGAATGGGAGCTGATCCATTCAAATGCATTAAGCAGGTCAGAGATAGATTAAATATCAACTGTGCAGCTGTTCAAATTCCAATGGGAACTGAAAATGGTCTGAAAGGAATCATCGATCTAATTGAGATGGAAGCTGTGTATTTTGATGGTGATAACGGGGAATCAGTAAGAAGAGAATCAATTCCAGATTCTTTCAAAGAGGAAGCAGACGATAAGAGAGAAGAACTTATTTCATGTCTTGCTGAATTAAACGAGGAGATTGAAGAACTGTACTTAATGGAGGAAGAGATTCCGAAAGATTTGATTAATTCTTGCATTCGTGAAAACACAATTAATCTCAAATTTGCTCCCGTATTTATGGGAAGTGCTTACAAAAATACAGGAATCCAACTTGCTTTAGATGGTGTTGTGAAATATCTTCCAGACCCAACTGAAGTAGTTAATCAAGCCCTTGACATCAGTACTCCAGAGGAAAAGAAGGTTGCTCTAGAAATTGATCCAAAGAAGCCTTTTGTTGGATTGGCCTTCAAGTTGGAGGAGAATCAATTTGGACAACTTACCTACTTGAGGGTTTACCAAGGTACTTTAAAGAAGGGTCAATTTTTGTATAATTCTGCAACTGGAGAGAAAATCAAACTTTCTCGAATGGTAAGAATGCATTCAAATGAAATGGAAGATATTTCCGAAGCTGGACCTGGAGACATTTGTGCGATGTTTGGAGTTGAATGTGCTTCAGGAGAAACATTCACTACAGGTTCAAAACTTGCCATGACCTCAATTCATGTACCTGATCCAGTTATGTCTTTAACAATCAAGCCAAAGGATAGAAATGACTTGACTAAGTTCTTGAATGCTTTGAGGAGATTTGAGAGAGAAGATCCTACTTTTGTAGTTGCCCAAAATCCAGAGAGCGAGGAAATTATTATTTCAGGAATGGGAGAACTTCATCTTTTCATTTACGCTGAGAGACTTAGAAGAGAATATGATATCCCAGTTGTTGTAGGAAATCCTACTGTAAATTACAGAGAAACTGTGACTGAGAAATATGAGTTCACTTATCTTCATAAAAAGCAGAGTGGAGGAGCAGGTCAATATGCTAAAATTATGGGATATGTTGAGCCTAACACAGAAGATATCACTGATCCAGAGGCAGACACCTCTAACCTCTTTATTGATGCTACTAAGGGAAATAATCTTCCAAATGAGTACATCCCAGCTATCGAGAAAGCATTTTATGAATGCTGTAAGAAGGGTCCTTTGACTGGGTACCCTGTGATTGGTATGAAATTTGTGTTGACTGATGGACAAGTCCATGTGGTTGATTCCTCACAAATGGCATTCGCCCTTGCTACTCAAGGAGCATTTAGGGAATCTTATAGCTCTGGAGGTGGTAAGATCCTTGAACCTATCATGGATGTCCAAGTAACTGTAGATGCTGATTACCAGCAAGGAATTATGGGTGGTCTTATGAAAAGAAGAGGAACAATGACTGATACTAAATCCCAAGATGGCATGTTTATTGTAAATGCTGATGTCCCACTTGCTACCATGTTCGGATATGCCACTGAGCTTAGAGGAATGACTCAAGGTCTAGGAGAATTCTCAATGGAGTACAAGAATCATGCTCCAGTTGAGGAATATGAAATTCAGGATATCATCGAAGCTTATAAGAAGAAGCAGCAGGAAGAATCTGATTTTTAAGTTAATCGCAATATAAAGTAGAATGAAGGGGTTTTGGGGTTTTGGGGTTTTGGGGTTTTGGGG